TTTCTGCGGCGCGGTATGTTGCGGAGCGTATTGCGGCGCACACTGTTGAAGTACGGGTGGTGCGATCTGCAGTGCTGGTTGCGGCGCGAAGTACGACGTGGGTTGCGGCGCAGGCTGCGGCGCGGGTTGTGGCGCGGGTTGTGGCGCGGGTTGTGGCGCGGGTTGCGATGTAGGTTTTTCTTGCAACCATGTACTAATGCGCACTGATGCCAAATCGTCTTCTATTTCTTCATCTTCATCGGTTGATCCGGCTTCTGCTTGTAGTCGCTGCACGTGTATTTCTTGCAATTCTGTTCTTGCTTGCAACTGAGCCTGCTCGAGCTTGAGTTCGGCTAACCGCTCTTTCGCCTCTAACTCCGCGAGGAGTCTCTTGCGTGAGGCTACGGAGCGGCGTGACCTAGTCTCGCCGGGCTTCAATGTGCACTGCGATCTTTGATCACCCTCTTGCTGGGTTTCTTCCGTTGCGGTTGTTCTATCGGTTGCCGAGGTAGCGGTCGTATCGCTGACCGTTGTGGTTTCGCTAGTGGTGTTTGTTGAACCACTAGCGGCTGAGTCGCCCCCGGAGGCCTCTTCTGTGGCCCCCTGGGTTGTTTGTTCATCCTTGCGACGCTTCGATGATTCTCCGTTGTTACTACGCGTAATCACCATTTTTCTTCACAATAATATTTTTTCGTTCTTGCGGTTTGCTTCTTTCTTCCGGCAATACCAAGACCGATATTGTCTTTTTCTTCTAGTAATCCGGCTTCTCGAAGGACCATTAATATTACGGATCGCCGTAATGCCGTGCGAAAAATGGAATAAAACGCGCTGGTCTTGCTTTTAACTGGAGGCAAGCGGCGGTGAGGAGGAACTTGTACTTTTTCTTTTCTTGCTGGTGCCTTTTCGGTGGCTGGAGAGCGACTGCTGACCCTAGTTTTTTTTTTTTTTTTTTTTTGCGCCCGAAGCAATTGGAAAAGGGCTACCACTGAGGGAGGCGGAAAATGCATTATGCATACCACGACAGCCGGTCTGTCCTGGTTATGTGGGACTCACTGCCTACCGGGGGACCTAAGTGATACCCACTAAAAACCGCCTTTGGGGACTGGCAACTAGCTCTATTAAAGCTGCATATGCCGTATCTAAAGCGACCCTCTTTTGGGAAAAGAGGGCGCAGACGGCTAAGTGCCGTTTAGGGACTGCCTACGAAGGCATATTATTAATTTTAACTAATTTTTAATTTAATTAGGATTGGCCTGAGCCGCCAGGAGGCAGTTCAGGTCGTTTGACAACTTATTTGGCGGGTCCGAGAGAGTGTTTCTCGGCCTGCGGACGCTATAGCGAGAAGGGAGTGGGGCGGTATAAGTAACTGCCTCACGAATAAGTGTGTTAGTATGCGACTCTGATACTTTAAAGAAGTTTTCAGATAATTTTTTAAGACATTGCTGGATTGTTGGGATTTCTAAATCCCGGTGAAGGTCGGCATTACGGACGTACCAAGGTGCGTTCGTAGCTCGACGACAGAAGAGGTTTTGAACTACTTGGAGTTCGTTAATAATTTTATCGTTAGCGTGTGCAAAAATAGGAGCCGAGTAAGTCATAACCGGTCGTATAACCTTATAGAGGGTTCGCTTATTTCGTAATGACATTTTGCTATGTCTGCCTAACATACTGTTAAGCCGACCTAAATAGAAACGTGCTAAACGCGTTACTCTTTTGACATGAGACTCAAAAGTAAGCCTATAGTCAAGGGTGACGCCTAAATATTTTGCTGACATGTGCCATGGGACAGGGGTCCCTAGCATTCGTATAGGTGGAGTATTTTTCTTGTTTTTATTACGGCGTCTTTTAATATCGAATTGAACTGCGGAGCTCTTCTCCGGGTTCACATCGATACGCCATTTTTGGAACCAGTCTCCTAGGTCATCGACTGACTTTTGGATCTTGTTCCTTGCTGAAGATATTCTAGGACTTTTGAAGTATAGTGCAGTGTCATCTGCGAAGAGTGAGAGCTGTACACCATTCGACGGGATAGGAATGTCGTTGGTGTACAAGATGTACAGGAGGGGAGCTAGTACTGATCCTTGAGGAACACCAGCCTTAATGGGGCGCTGAGAGGATAACGTGCCTTCGTGTCTAAAACGAAAGGTACGATGTTGTAAATAAGAGGCTACGAGACGTACTAGACGATCGGAGAGTCCTATCCTATATAATTTGAAAATAAGGCCTTCATGCCAGACTCGGTCGAAGGCTTTGGCAATGTCGAAAAAGACCGCGATTGTCTTTAGTCGACGTGGATAAAAACCGCTGAGGATATATTCCACAATGCGGTGTACCTGTTGTGGACACGAGTGTTTTGCGCGGAAACCAAATTGGTGTGGGATGACAATGGGGTCACCGTCTGTGGGAAACAGATGGCGCCTCATTCGATTTTGAATGACTCTTTCAAAGAGTTTGCCCATGGCCTTTAGGAGGCTAATGGGACGATGACTGGAGGGGAGGTTAAGAGGCTTGCCTGGCTTGGGAATACCAATGACAATTGCCTCTTTCCAAGAAGTGGGAAAGTAACTAAGATTAAAACAGGCGTTAAAGATAATAGCTAAGAGGGTTAACACCTGCTCTGGAAAGTATTTAAGGGCTTGGTTGGATATGCCATCCGCGCCCGGAGATTTTTTGGGCTTAAGTCCTTTGATGAGGGACGAGATCTCATCATTGGACACAGTGATAGGGTCAGAGGTTGTGGGGGGTGAGTTCCGGCGGCGGACCTCATCCTCCACTTCCTGAATATGTGAGGGGTCGACAGGTTGAGAGCTAGGAGAGCATTGTGCGGCAATGCTGTCTGCAAAGCACTCAGCCTTCTCGTCGTCCTCGAAGGCAACCGTACCGTCGGGGCGGGAGAGAGGGGGAGTGTGAGTTGTAGCGTCTATACGGAGGGCTCTAGCCATCTGATAGTACGCTGTATGTGAGGGAGATATATTCTCCATGAGTTCACTCCTTTGGAGCTCTCGAAATTCATAAAGGTGCGAACGGAGTTTTCGTTGAAGACGATTAGCCGTATGCCTATATTCGGGGGTGGGATATTTAGCTGCTCTCCGGAAAGCAGCTTTTTTAGCTTTTAATATGTTGCTAATATATAGGGGAAGCCCATTAGTATTAGCAACCGGAACGACCCTTTCATTCTCCTTAAGGGAGGATTTAATTAGGGTTGAAAGTGATTCGACCGCGGTGTCGATTTTTACAGGACTGTCTAAGTCTAAGTCCGACGATAGGTAATTAGGGGAGTCCTGCGAGTCCATAGCTTTTGCTAGTGAGTCCTTGAAACCCTTCCAGTTAGTGAAGGTTTTCGTAGTTATAATAGGGGGTGGCTGATGGCCAAGAATAAGAGAGACCGGTCGGTGATCGGATCCTATATCGTCTAGTGTCTCAATAGACCTGAGGTTGAGTGAAACTCCTTTGAGTAACGCAAAATCTAGTACATCTGGGTTATAATCGGTATTATCGGGATAGTGCGTTGCACCGAGCGGGCTGAAAACGGTTAAGTCAAGAGACTGCGTTATATCACGCAGTATCCTACCATTAGTATTAATCGTACGGCATGTCCATTCAGTATGTTTAGAGTTAAAATCTCCAAACATAATGACTGAATTACTTTGAGATAAGATTGCCTCAAAATCATCTTTGAGGGGGAGGTTTTTAGGGGGAATGTAACAGGAGGCTATGACTAAAGACTGATGTCCCGTCATAGATATCCTGCATAACGTAGCTTCCATATTGGTAAGCTGTGGAGTATCAATAAGAGAGCAATGTAGTGTCTTCTTGTAATAAATGGCCGTGCCGCCGCCTCGGCGGTCGTGCCTATCATTACGAAGAAGAGAATAATTTTTAATGGATAAGCCTTTATTGTCTGTGTGTTTAAGATTGGTTTCCTGTAAGAGGAGAAAATCAGCTTCGCGATCTTTAAGGAAGAGCTTAAGCTCTGGGAGATTATTACGCAATCCGCGAATATTAAATGAAATAAGCGATAGCCCTTTGGGCTTGATACGACCGTGACTTCTAGGCAGAGCAGAAGGCTCTGTCATTATAAGCTAAGTTAATTAAGTTAACTTAGCTTACAACGAACGCAATAAATTACTGTGTTCTGCGAGAGCCAAAAGCCGGTCCTGAGGGGACCGGGCGGCGCGCAGTTTACTCGCTAAAACCGAGATTTCGTTAATGTCGATGTTCCTTATCGCGGCGTAAACCGTGTTAAAGTCATCGCCAATTGTCGACTGTTTCTGCTGCGGAGCAGAAAATACCTGTGGCGGTGGATCTACCTTTTTGGGGCCCCAGGCAAAAACTGGAGCCTGCATAGGCTTTGAGAAGCCCGGTGGTGGCCTAAGCGGTGCCTGCGGTGGCCTAAGCGGTGTCTGCGGTGGTCTCGGGGGACCCTGAGGGGGTCGTGCAAAGCCCTGAGACGGCTGAGATACGCCCTGACGGGGCTTCCTAACATATAAGGCCGGGAATGAACGGTCATTTACCGGCGGTGGTGCCTGTCTTGCTATGCGCGGACGAGGAGCGCACGGGCATCCTCTGTAGCTCGCCGGGTGGCCTGTCTGTTGACACAGGACGCACGCGGGCGGGGATACGGCATCTTTGGGACACTCTTTGGTGATGTGCGGATCTAGGCACTTAACGCACCTGGGTGGGGCGGAGCAATTGGCCGCCGCGTGACCATACAATTGGCAGCGGTGGCACTGCGCCGGGAAACCGCGCCTACGCGGTGACTCAACCTTGACTCCAGACAAGCCGCACACAGTGCGTACTTGCCGGAAGATGGTTTTAGCCTCCGGGACGTTACTTAAGATTACTAATATTACCGGGTATCTCAGCCCGGTCCTACTATGCATTTTGTGAACCGCTTCAACGGGGAAACCTTGTGACTTAAGGTCCGCAAGTATCTCCTCGTTGGAGAGTTCAAACGGGACGCCTCGGATGACGACCCTAACTTTACGCTCTTCCGGGAGAGCGTATGTGTGGTACGATACGCGTTCGTAAGTAAAAAGTTTCGTGATACGGCGGAAATCGTCGATCGTGGTTGGCAATATTTTGATTGCTACGCCTAAGTTGGTAGCATCCTCGTACTTAATTTTCGAGTCGTAACATATCTTACTGAGCCGGGTAAATTCAGCCTTATCTCTTAAGAAGACAGGGGGCGGGGCTTGTTTCTTAGCTAATTGCGGCGCACAACGCGTGGCCGGTTTTGTTGGCGCTGAGCTATCTAACGCGGCAGCTCGGGCTGCAGGGACTGAGGCAGCGACGGAGGCTGCGGGGGAGGCGGGAGCGGCACGGGCCGCTGCGGCGGTTGGCGAACGGTTTTTAGCGGCGCGCTTCGCCGCGCGCTTTGACGATACCGTGGTATAGGATTCTAGTGATGCACCGGTGTCGTCCGAGTCTGACTCCGATGACCTGGTGCCGGATTTTTTCGCGGGCCTCTTCCGAGAGGCGGATACTGACGACGCGGCGTCGGACTCGGAGTGAGAGCACTCCATATCAATTTCAAGCGCGGCGAACGAGTTCTGGGACTCTAAGTAGTCCGCTAACACCGGCGGCGGGATGGTTGCCTTACGGGCGGTACCAGCCAGAAGGGCTAGGGCGGCGGAAAGCGCCTGCGAATCTTCCACCTTAGTGATGGCGTCCCAAAGTGATGATTTTAAGTCCTTATTGGACATGTTGATTAATTAATTAACTAAAAAATAAAAAAAAATAAAAAAATAAAAATAAACTATTTAAAACTACTAGTAGGGCGTGGGGGATCACCGCACTGAAAGTGCGGGACGTTCTTATTCTGAAACTCTCCCTCGTCCTCAAAAGGACGGGGGCTAAGTCAAGAAACAATATGACAATATACACGTTATATATACTACACATATAATTATAATAAACTACTAACATATACAGTACTAGTGTACTACAATATAAAAAGCGTTCAGTCAGACCTCCCCGACCTGAGGGCGGGGGGGTAAGAGCTGAGAGTTAGCGATGAGACACTCACCCGACTTCAGCGCTTATAGCGCCAACACTGAGAGGCGCGCGGGGCGCGAAACTGGGGGGGCGCTAACGGAGCGCACGCGGACTACCTGGTACACCCGCTCGAGAGCCATATCGATTACGAGACGAACCATATATAGCCAGCATCGATTCGCCACTAGGTGGGGTGGGGATCGCGAACGCAACACGTTTGCGCGGTCGGTCCGGTCAGACTTTTAGTTAGTTGGAAAATCTCAAGTCAGAGTTGGGAGTTGGGAGTTGGGAGTTGGGAGTCGGGCAGTCGGGCGAGGGCGAAACGAATGTACTTGTAAAGAAGAAAAAAAGAAGAATACTAGGTAGCAGCAATAGGATATAACGCGTTAGAATAGAATAGTATAATATATCGTCGTCGAAGAGGAAGAAAAACGAAAAACTGTAACAAGAAAATTAGGGAGTGTGAAAGTGATAATATTATTTATATACATAATATTATACGTGTTACGTTCGTGTAGGGTCTCGTCGCGTCGCGTCGCGTCACGTCGCGTCGCGTCGCGTCGCGTCGGTCGGTCGGTCGGTCGGTCGGTCGGTCGGTTCGGTTCGATTCGATTCGGTTGTGTTATCTATTTTACCTAGGCACCTATTAAAATTTTTTTAAAAGTGTGAACGTAGTACGTTGAATTCGTTGAGTAGGTGGTGTGTGTATATATATATATATATATATATATATATATATATATATATATATATATATATATATAGAGGTATTTAGTGTTTCGTAAATTGTTGTAACGCATTTACGACGCATCTACGTTTATTGTTTTAATATACGTGTATTTAGCTTATTCGAATTTATATACCTACTTAGTTAAATCGTTATCGTGCGTTCATAAGTTGTGCGTTCGTTATTTCGTTGCAATGTTTACATAATTACATAATATTTTATATTATATTATATAGAACTGCCTGACAGACTGATTTGATTGAAGTGAGGGACGGTGCGATATATATAATATAGGTAGGTAATATATATAATAAGGCAATCATTATGATTGACGCGTGACGTATAAGAAACTCATAGGAAATTTTTGTTAGCCCTGAAAAGGGCTTTTTAGCATTGCGGTCGCTCGCGCATATTCGTATACGACGCGACACACGTACACCATTTATTTTTATAGGTATTATTTATAAGAATAAAATAAAAATAAATAGGCCCGATGCCGCGGCGCTACGAGGCACTCGCGTTCACCCGCGAGGATCCTTCTCCCGTCCCGTCCGTCCCGTCTTGCTGTCACTCTGCCTGCCTGCTTGCCTTCCTACCTACCTACCTACCTACCTACCTACCTACCTACCTACCTGTCTCTCAGCAGCATCAGCCTGCATGCACTACACAATCACATACGCGCGTGACAATTACGCGTACGAGTACGTACGTAGGTAGGTACGGCGGCGGTGGTTATGACGACGGAAGGCGGTGACAGCGGACCTTACTTTTTAGAAGCGGCTGCCTTCTTCGATGCCGCCGCGGAAGGCTTCGATTTGGGTGTTGCCGCCTTCTTCGGTTTTGGAGCCTTAGGTTTCTTTGTCGGTGGTTTGGCGCTCTTTTTCGCCTTCGAAGCGGCGCCTTTCGCCTTAGAAACGCCGCTTTGGCCAGCGGTTGCGGATTTTCTTGCGGCTGCCGGCTTCTTTTTCGCGGCGGCCGCCTTCTTGTCCTTGGTAGCTGCAGACGGTTTTGCCTTAGACGGTGATGATGCGGTCGCTGCCGATGCTGTCTTTTTACCCTTACCCGCGGCGGTGCTCTTCTTCACCTTCGCCGACACCGAGCTAGCGGCGGACACGCCGCTCTTTGCGCCACCGCTGCTCTTACCCGTCGACGGTTTCTTAGAGGCGGACGATTTTGATTCAAGCTTAAAGGAACCGGAAGCCCCCTTGCCCTTTGTCTGTATAAGCGCACCCGATTCGACTGCGCTCTTCAGGTACTTTCTGATGAACGGAGCTAGTTTTTCAGCGTCGACTTTATATTGAGCGGCAATATATTTTTTTATCGCTTGCAAAGATGATCCACTGCGCTCTTTCAGCTCTTTAATTGCGCTGGTGACCATTTCGGAAGTCTTCGGATGAGTGGGTTTCGCCTTGGGCTTCTTTGCACCACCTGCTGCAGTAGCGGCGGCCTTCGGTTTTTTCGCCGGAGTCGCCGGAGCGGGAGTTTCGGAAGCTACTGCTGTATCTGCCATTACTTCGTAGTAGTAGTATTAGATCACAAACGAACTACAAACACTGACTCACACAACTCGCGATAGATGATAATAACAAAGGAAAATTGTAAATTGTTGTTATATATCGTACACAAATTGATATTACGTAGGATAATACACAGGTGGCGACAGTGGTGGTTCATCTCCTTGTGGAGGTTTTCATGTGTCGAGGAGACCCTCTTTACATGGGCGGCATCTCAGGAGGACACGACCCCCCGGTCTTGGGTGCTGCGTTGGCAGCTTATATGTAGGTGTATTGCGCACCTCGCGCCATCACGTCGAGTGTCGGGACGCTCACTCACCCCCGGCGTCCCCTGTGCCGGGCAGTGAGCGTAGAAGTTCACGTGGGAGTGGTCGCCCGTCAGGTGGGCGGGCGTGAAGGGGAGCAAGATTTTGAAGGTGAAGGTGTGGCCCGTTGTCTGCGCGGTCGAACAACCGTCTCGCAGAACGGACCACAAAATCATGGATGGTTTCGACCTTGAGGTCGCGAGAAATGATGTCATTCCTGACGTAGCGACCGGCTCCCACGATCACCCGAAGCGCAAGATTTTGCTGGGCCTGCAACCTCTTGCGCTGAGTGGCCGAGGTCAACGCGTACCAGGCTGGTGCTGCGTAGGTCAGCCGCGAGCGGATGTAGGTTTTGTAGATACCTATTTTCGTTCTTGTTGGGAGTTTGGATGCCAGTATAGGGTATAGTTTCGCTCGCGCCGCTCTGGCCTGTCTCACAACGTGATTGACCATCGGGGTCATGCGCAGCGAGCGATCTATCTGGCATCCTAGGTACGTAATGGTACTACTCCAACCCACATCCTGCCCGCGGAGTTGCAGAGTTGGTGGTGTTCTGGCCAGCCTGGTCATGAAGGCGACGGTCTTCCCGACATTGACCGCCAGCCTCCATTTGTCCAGCCACTCAGGCAAGAGGTCGAGTACCCGCTGCAATTTCTTAGCAGCTATGTCCACCCGACGTGATGACGCGAAGTACGCACTGTCGTCGGCGTACAAGGCTAGGACAACGTCATCCTCCCATTCCTCCAGATGGCCTTGGAGGGTGGGGATGTCGTTGGTGTAGACCGCGTACAGGTGCGGTGATAGGCAGCTGCCCTGTGGCACTCCCGCAGAAATCGGTCGTGCCGCCGAAACAGCCCCTTCCAAGGAGACATGGAAGCTCCGCCCCTCCAGGAATGACGCTATTAACCGCACAAGCATGGGCGGTAAAGTGGTGTGCTGAATGAGTTTATAAACTAGCCCTGCGTGCCACACCCTGTCGAAGGCCTTCTCCATGTCGAGAAGGACCCCCACACAGATGCGGCCGAAGTTATATTCGGCCGCAAGATAGTGCAGCACGCGGGCCAGCTGAGACGTGGTTGAATGTCCCCTGCGGAAGCCAAATTGCTCCTCCCGCAGGGTAACATGTGGGAGTACCCTGTTCAGGGTGATTTTCTCGAAGAGTTTTGCTATGTGCGGCAATAGCGTTATGGGGCGGTAGCTGGCCGGGAACCTCCTGTCTTTTCCCGGCTTCGGCAGCACGATGATTCTGCCCTGCTTCCATATGGTCGGGAAGTGGCCAGTCCTCAGGATGCCATTATACAGCCTGGTGAGTGCCACTATTACCCTTCTAGGCAGCTGCTTTATTGCAGTGGTGGTTATGCCGTCGTAACCCGGCGCTTTACGGCTAGGTAGGCGCATAATAGTGCGCCTTACCTCTGCTGGAGATATGAAATCGCCGCCTCGCAATGGCGGCGCCGGGTTAGAGAGGTATTCCCGTACGCGGTCCTCTATGCCTTGTACGTGGTCTGCGTACCCCTCTGCTATGCTGTTGGGTATAAACTGTTGCTCTAGGTGCTGTGCCATCAACTCCGCTCTAGGTTGGGCGTCGTAAATCCTACTCCCCGTGCTGTCCACCAGTGGGCAGACAGGTGGTGGTGTCTTGGAGAGCTGCCGGTTGAGGAGATGCAGGGAGGCGGGTGTCTCCGAGGCTTCGTCGACTCGCCTCTCCCATGCTTCTCCCCTGTATGCTCTCATTGCTTCCGACAGCTCTTCCGTTAGAGAGTTAAGTTTAGTTTTAAGCCGTGGGCATCGTGTCCGTGCCCAGAGCCTCCTCAGTTTCCGTTTTTCGGATAGTTGAATTTGCAGTTTGCGTGGGAGTTCCTCCTTTCCGCGCCCCGTGGAGACAGGGTGGGAATGAAGTTGTAGTTGGTCTTTAATGGTATTATGAATATGCAGGGCCGCTGTCTCCACATCTTCATAGGTGGTGATAGAGGCGCAGAGTTGGAGGTCCTCCAGCGCACTGCGGAAGCGTTGCCAATTAGTCCTCATTCTGAGGCTTCTGGGCACTGCGGCATCCGCACTGGTGTCGATCGTAATCAGCACGGGGAGGTGTTGCGTTTCTAGGTCATACAACACTTCTAACCGTGTTGTATACGGCACTAGATGACACAGCACAATATCAAGAACATCGGGCTGATGTTCGGGTTTTGTCGGGATATGAGTGGGCTCGTCTGGGCCCAGCACCTCGTACCCCCACTCCTCGGCGTCATCAAACAGTTTTCTTCCGGGTGGTGTGATCAGCCCGGAGCCCCAAGCGGGATGTTTTGCGTTGAGGTCTCCGGCGATAATTGCGGGCGTTGTGGAGTCGAAAATGGTACGTATATCCTGGGGGGCAAACGAGGTGCCAGGAGGTCGGTAGGCGGCAAAGATTCTCAGTTCTTTGGTGCCTACCTTCAACCTTATACCCTTGGTTCTTGTGGATTTAAATTGTGTGTTGGTGCCAACTTCTTCGTGCATGACGTCCCTCCTCACAAGGACCGCAGTACCCCTGTACGCGATTCCTTCTGGGGAGATCTCGTCGTGGCGGTACACGAAGAAGTTGGGGAGTTTTAGTTGTGCAGAGGGGCGCAGTTTAGTCTCCCCCAGCAGCACAATTTGGATATTGTGCTGCTGGACCAGGGTTCTCAGGTCGGCGACCTTCCCTAAGATGCCGCCGGGGTTCCAGTAGACCATCCTAAGTTGATGGCCTGCTGACAGATGTTAGTTGGGCTAAGGCCGTTAAGATGGCCGAAAGGGGGTTGGTGCCGGTGGTCATGGCAGTCAGGACCTCTCCTAAGATCCTGATTACCACGCCCACCAGTTGAGCGAGGGCCTCCTCGATGGTGGTTGGTGCCTGGGGCTGTGATAGGGGTGTGACAGTTATTGTCCTTTTGGGTGGGCGTTGATCTCGGGGTTGGGGTGCAGATTGCTCGTTCTGATTTGATGGAGGGAAGGTATATCGCAGTTGTGGCAGTGGTAGTCGCTGTTCATTGGTGGTGTTGGGTGGAGGAAGAGGAGTTGAAGTACCACCCACTTGAGCTGTTTGGGTGGTTGCCTTCTTCTTCTTCTTCTTCTTGCCTCTTTTCCTCTTTGGGCGCTCTATGCGCTCCGTGGGATCATTCGCCGGTGGAGCTAATGTCGCCCCAGTCGTCGCAAATGTAGTAGGCGCTGGTGCTAATGTCACCTGCCGCTGTTGCGGTTGAGGCGCCTGGTGTAGTGGTTGCTGCTGTTGTTGCAGTTGTTGTGATGGATAATAGGTTTGCCTTTGAGGCGGTGGTGGTTGTCGTTGTTGTGGAGGCGGTTGATGTTGTGGTGCTTGTGCTGCTGCTTGCGGGGGTATGGGAGGCTGTATGTTTATGCCTCTCTTCCTCGCAATTCGCTGCAGCACAGGGCATCGCCTATCATTTGCGGCGTGATCCCTACCGCAGTTGGCGCACTTGGGCTGTGCATCCCGCGGTTGTGGGCAAGCTGAGGCGAGATGGTCACCTGCACAGCGCACACATTTGAAGGGTCGGTAGCAATTGTACGATGCATGCCCGAACCCTTGACATCTGTGACACTGTGCAGGACCAATTCTGCCTGTCCAGCCTTCTATTTGTACCCCCGGCATGTAGAGCAGCTCATCAATCTTATATAGTCTGTTGAGCTCCTCGGGGCTTAGGTGGTTCATCTTTACGTGAAACAGGCATCCGGGCCTGCCTCTTTTGGGTGGTATGGATCGGACAAAAGTGACAGGGAAGCCCTTCTCTATGAGGGCCTCCTGTATGTCCTTTGGATCAGTGTCGGCAGGGAGCCCTCTTAACCCCACCTTCGTGGGTTGCTCCTCTTGTGGGGCGTAGCAATACCACACGAAGGTGGCGTCCTCCTTGCTTTTCTCAATAAGGTACTTTTGGACCTTCCGATACTCGTCGTCGGACTGGGGCCGAAAACGGACTCCCTTCCCAAACGGGCGAGCATTAGGGGCGTGTCCCAGAAGCTGGTGGATAATTTTGAAGTGCTTCGCCCAATTGGGGAAGCACTCCACTATAATAGGAGGGTATTTGGCCTGGTTATTTACTGGTTGTTGTTGTTTTTGTGCAGATGGTGGTGGAGGAGATGGTGGCGCTGATCTCGGCGCTGCTGCAATTTGCGCATAAGAGTCCGGCGCAGAAGATGGACCAGGCATGGGCTCCTGGTTTACAGGTTGGGAGTCTTGCATTGGGGCTAGAGTGGCGTAGGACGTATTGTCCCACTCTCTCTCCCCTTCCGGGTCTTCCTCGCCGAAATCCTGCATATCAGCGGTGCAAGCCGGAGAGGTGGTTGGAGACGGTGAGTTTGGCGGAATGTTATGCCTTACCACAGGTTGTGGGGCTTGTCTCTCGGGTGGGGTTACCGAGGAAGGAGGCGATGCCGAATCAGATAGTGAGTCTGATCCGGCTCTCAGCCTTTTCTCCTCTTGGAGCTGGTCTTTGTCTATTTCAGGAGGTGTACGTCTCCGCGAGGCTTGGCTCCGGCGTGGTAGTGGCGCCGGTTCGACGCTAGGTGGAGACACAGCTTCACCAGCGCCGAGCGCGGTGCCAGTGGCCGATGAACTACCAATACGCCTCGGGAGTTGGCTATACGGTGGGAGCACTCGCGACCTCTCAGGAGCGAAGAGGTCTCGCTCCATGAGGGGCCTGTCGAGAACTCCCAGACGCCTGTCGGGTGGTTTTCGGCGTGTTGGGGGAGGTTCCCCCTTGTCCGACATCACAAATTACTTGTGCTCAGCCCTTGGCTATCACACACCTTACTCCCCTCAGCGCGTGCAACCACACCGGGTGAGACCCGTGAGGGAGGCCCAGCGAGGCGCCCGCGAGCAGGGAGGGGTGTGTGAGGCGCAGATGGGATGGGCGTTATCTCACAAAATGCGGAACACTTGCAAACACTTTTTAAATAAAAAGAGGGTACAGTGTACAAACAAGATAAAAACGCAAAGTAGGGCACAGCGTAGGTTGTGACCTTTGCGCTTACCTTGATAACAGCTCGATGCAGGAGATGCGCCAGCGACGCCTCGACGCCAAACGGAGCGAACTCGACGTCGGCGGAGTCAATCACTAGCACAACACGTACACAACACAGGAGCGCACTAGACACGTCCGCACTGTAGCACGGCCCGCAACGAACTGAGGTGGCGACACTATCGCCACCTTACCCCCCCAACCAAAGCTTAACCGTAAGGAGAACCGCTTTCGTTTTACGTTTTCTCGTACGAACACTTCTAACTTTTCACTAGAACGTCTCGAATAAAATTTAATTTTTACCGTGATATATAAATATTATCGTATTCAGAAAGTTAATACGGTATATATTTGAGATTGTGCACGTAACAGACAAACCCGTTACGTATATAAGCGATCGAGAAACGAGCAATGGATGTTTATTTTGTTCACTATATTCTGAGCGTACCATGAGCCGCCTTTTAAAATGATTTTTCTCTATTTGCTCATTAGTTTAGTTAAATTTAAATCGGTCTATTGAAAGTTAATATCCTGAGGTTAGACAGAAGGCAGAGGTCACGCCGGTAATGCATTATTCGTAATGCAACGACCTATTATACGTCGAAGGTCGTAAAACACGAAGAGGTCTCGAGGCTCACAGACCGAAGTCCCTATACAAAGCGTACGATCTTTGAAAATAGTCTATAATATTTTAAAATTTGTCCACTGTAATCTGAAATAATTATTATAAATCATTATTATTTCTAGAATGTTGCAACACGTTCCCATACTTCTTTAAAATACGTACAAAAGCTGGGCACGCTTCAGAGCAACGTATGTTTATAAAGCGTTAAGTATTTAAAAAAAAAAAAAAAAATGAAGTGTGATATTATTAAAATATAGTATATCATATTATAATGTATATATTAAATAATAAGGGAGATAAATAAGAGAGAAAAAAAAAAAAAAATACAATTCGGAATTATGATAATATATTCCTAAGACGTTCGAACCATTATTTCAATATGGCGATATCTTACACTTGTTGTTTAATAGGTATCGTCAAATTTAAGAAGAGTATAGTCATTTAATGCCTACATGAATTGACGTTTCTTTCATTCAGATCAGTTTTTCGAAATTATTTCGAATTAAAAAAAATAAACCTAATTTTGTTCCGCGTTTAATTGGTATACATAAATCTTATGTGATGCCTTTACAGCTTTAAATACTTAACATAACTTTATAGACAGACACATCTAATTCTAATATGCACTTACATACATGATCATAAACACACATACATTCGCAATTATATACTACATAATCATGCCATTTATACACATATCCGTACAACAAAATACATGCTTGCACATATCATTTCTTTTTTTTTTTTTTTTAAATGACGATACTCTACGAAACAAATACAAGTTATATCGATAGTTTTGCGGCCCTGAAAAGGGCCTTTTTTTTTTTAAACTTATACGATTAGGAAAATCGTCTCATCACGTAACTTAACTCTCAGAGTCCCGCATACCAAGTAGCAAATACACACTGCGCACATGGTGTACTATAGACGAACTTAGAGCGGACAGAGAGCCGTAGTACGTGGCGGTGGACGACGTCTTCATCGCGTAGCGTATAAGAAATTAACCACCGAATCCGTAGAGGGTACGTCCTTGACGTTTCAGGGCGTACACGACATCCATTGCGGTGACGGTTTTCCTCTTCGCATGCTCGGTGTATGTAACAGCGTCACGAATCACGTTCTCAAGGAACACCTTGAGTACACCGCGTGTCTCTTCGTAGATTAACCCGGAGATACGTTTCACACCGCCCCTGCGTGCGAGACGTCTGATAGCCGGTTTGGTGATACCCTGGATGTTATCACGAAGAACTTTTCTGTGCCGCTTCGCTCCACCTTTCCCCAAACCTTTACCACCTTTACCGCGACCGGTCATTTTCGCTTAGAGAAGAAAGACAACACACGAAATAATATATATAGAGACTTAACGTACGTTACGAACGCACGACGACAGATAGACCGCACCAACTTTTTCCCGTTTATATAAAGTCACCCAGACGACTGAGACGGCTGAGGCGAGGGTGCGGGGAAGTATAAAATGGCCGGGCAAATAATAAGGCGAAGGCGGGGGGAGGGGAGGGGGGTGGATGTTTCGTGTTGCTGTAGATGGTACACGGAAAAAAAAAAAAAATTGTCGAAATATCGTTTAAAATTTGGAAGAGGTAGTCTCTATATAATAATAAATAAATAAATTTGTCAGTTCGATACGCGCGCCATCTATTGTAAGATTATTAGTTAGCAATAAGTTGACTAAATTTTAGCGCAATCTGATGAACGGTATGGTAGCGCATTATATACGAACAAACAAAAATAAAATTTATATATTAGAATATAGAAAGGTATCTAATTAGTTACTACGTATAAGGTAATACGATTTTGTCCTGCGACAATGGCTAGACTCCATCCAATGAGTCCTGAGGTCAATCCGCATACTATTAAAAAAAAAAAAAGAGAAATTAGTCAATCCCCCATTAATTTTAATACTCAAAGCCCGCCATGAAATAATGTCGCGGGTTGAACGAGGTGTATATAAAGTACAGATAATATTATTGTCGAAACATGTCGTTTTCTATTTTGTATCACTTCATTTAATATGATTATCCAAAGTAAGATATTATAATTTATATTATTATGAAGACGAAGATTTTTATTTATTTAAAAAAAAAAAAACTGCATCCTAACTAACAGAAGCGTTCTGCGCGTGAACATTGGTGGTGGTAGTCTTCGCGGGCAGCGGCGGCGCAGGCATCGTCGGCGCCGATCGTCGATGATGGTGATGAATGATCATCCGTCGTGAGACAGGTAAGCTTTACCCTACTGTGTATCTTATGATGTTAAATAGTATACAGTTTGTCGTCTATTTATTATACTAGATTAGTACATCTATCTATTAATTTATTTAAACGGTATCTAAATAAACATTTCGATTTGCTGAGCCTTAATTCGATATTATGTTTTTGTTATCTCATAATATTACCATACCATACCATACCATCTATCTATCTATCTATCTATCTATCTATCTATCTATTACTTGCTCGTTTAACGTTCTCTTATATTCTAAAGAAACGCACAGTTTATTGTGTAGAAACATATGCGGCCCTGAAAAGGGCCTTTTATGAAAGTGAAAGAGAACATACGTTAAAACCAACACAATCATCATCATCTTGTCAACGTGTAGTTGTTGTTAATGAGGCATATTTAATATTGCCACTTTCACACTGCCAATCGATGATTGATGTTAAAAATTAAACGTAGTTCACAACACAATCGGTAGAGTAGAGTTTATTAAGCTCGTTCACCGCGAATTCTGCGCGCCAACTGTATGTCTTTCGGCATAATGGTTACGCGTTTTGCATGAATCGCGCATAAGTTGGTATCTTCGAACAACCCGACTAGGTAAGCTTCGCTAGCCTCTTGAAGGGCCATCACGGCGGAGCTCTGGAAGCGGAGGTCGGTCTTGAAATCCTGAGCGATTTCACGCACCAAACGTTGGAACGGCAATTTGCGGATGAGGAGCTCGGTGCTCTTCTGGTAGCGACGAATCTCACGGAGAGCGACGGTACCGGGCCTGTAGCGATGTGGTTTCTTAACACCGCCGGTTGCTGGTGCGCTCTTACGGGCTGCTTTGGTGGCCAGTTGTTTACGCGGCGCTTTACCACCGGTGGATTTCCGAGCGGTCTGCTTAGTACGTGCCATTGTTACGTTACACTAACTCAACTAATACACAATATATTCACTATACGACTATACGTTCTCAACGCGCGGGATACTGAAATCGTCGTTTTTTTTTTTTTTTTTTTTTTGCGCCCGAAGCAATTGGAAAAGGGCTACCCCGAAGGGAGGCAGAAAATGCATTACGCATACCACGATGGCCGGTCCATCGTGGTTATGAGGGACTCACTACCTACAAGGGGGAACCTAAGTGATACCCTCTAAAAACTGCCTTTGGGGACTGGCAACCAGCTGTTGAAAGCTTCACATGCCGTATCGTAAAGCGACCCTCTTTTGGGAAAAGAGGGCGCAGGCGGCTATAAGCCGCTGAGGGAGTGCCTGGGAAGGCAAATTAATTATGAATAACTTAATTAGAGTTGGCCTGAGCCGCCAGGAGGCAGTTCAGGTCGTTTGAAAGTTTATTAGGCGGGTCCGAGAGGGAGTTCCTCGGCCTGCGGACGCTATAGCGGGAGGGGAGTGGGGCTGCATAATTAGCAGCCTCACGAATAAAATGATTGGAATGCGACTCTGAGGCTTTGAAGAAGTTCTCAGAGAGTTTTTTAAGGAATTGTTGAATTGTAGGGAGCTCTAGGTCCCGATGAAGGTCGGCATTGCGGACGTACCAAGGTGCGTTCGCAGCTCGACGACAGAAAAGGTTTTGAACTACTTGGAGTTCATTAATAATTTTAGGGTTAGAGTGGGCGAAAATGGGGCCCGCGTAGGACATGACTGGTCGTATACAGACCTTATAAAGAGTACGCTTGTTTCTGAGGGACATTTTACTGTGTCGGCCCAACATACTGTTGAGCCTATTCAGGTAAAAACGTGCGTGACGGGTTACTCTTTTGACGTGGGGCCTGAAAGTTAGCCCTGTGTCTAGAGTGACACCTAAATATTTGGCAGACGTATGCCAGGGGACAGGGGTCCCTAGCATACGTATTGGTGGAGTGTTTTTGAGACGGCGTCGTTTATAAT